AACACCTAATGACTCAAAATGAAGGAAAACACATAATAAAAAAAGAAACGGACTAAAAACTAAAGAAACAACCTAAAACGGGGGAAAACGAAAGATAAAATAAACACAAAAAATGCAACAAAAATGGGACAAACATGGTCTTTGTTTTGTTTCTAGTATTGGCAATCAGACTAGGCTTTGGCAGTGGTTAGATTGGCAACTCTTTGTTTTTATTATTTTGTTTTTGTGATATCCCGTCTGTGGGATCTTTCTAGGCAGCTTTATAGCTTGTCCTCCCTGGTTTTATTTTCGGCCGTTGGTCGCGTTTGTATTCGAACCTTGTTCTCTTGGCGTGGTTATATAGTATTCCTTTCGTTTCGAAAAAAAAAAAGAAAAAAAAACATGGTTTATTCTTTTTTTCTGATAAGTCACACAATTGAAAAAAATTTGCAAAAAAAAAAAATGTGTTGAAAAATATTTATTTGGAGCGGAAAAGTCAAGTGGTAGAATTGATAAATAAGTAGTATTATTTCTTCTAAAATTTTTATTGTCATTGCATCGAGTATATTGGTAGTGATTGTAAATATTATTTGGGAAATGTTCACCTACCAATGGTGGGCATATGTTAATATGCCCATCGCGTAGGTGGCATGCACTCATTGGTGATGTATTTTTTAAACATATTAACATCACCAATGAGTGCATGCCACCTACACGGTGGGCATATTAACATATGTCCACCGTGGGTAGGGGAGTATTTCTAAATATTATTTACATTAAATGATAATTGAAGTTATAATGCTTATGTTAAATAAATCAAGCTTAAATATTATTTAAATTAACGGATGATTAAAATTTATGCTTTTTTAATTAAATAGAGCAAACCAAAAGTCATGATCCAATTTATAGAAAAAAATGTGAGTATGTTTGCAATAGTAAGACTATATTTATCCACAACCCAACCCAACACAACACAATAACAAAAAATTATTTTCTCTCTTCCACCTACACAACCCAACTTATAACAACCTACATATCTTTATCCCAACCCAACTCAACCAACCGAACCCTTTTTTTTTTTTTTGTACAGAAAAGGAGACTAAAGCCTTAGACCACGATATTACGAGGATGAGCGATCCCTAGAACATCATGTTCGAGCCACGGTTTCACCCCGTGGGAGGGTCGTCAAGGATGTGAAGCCCAACTCAATTCAACATAATATTTATTTTATCTTTATTTATTTATTTATTAAATGTTATTTACAATACTTTTTTTGATACTGCTTTATCTACAACCCAACCCGATATAATAATTTCAATTGTGTTTCAAAACATATCAAGAGTGGTCTCTATTTGTAGGTAATGAAAAAAACACAAATTTTGATATTTTTTATTTTTTTTAATATAAAATAATATCAATAATTTGAGTTACATTTATCTATTCATATAAAATTTATAGTACCCAATAGAAATGAGACAAGTGTCCCCATTCTCTCTCTTTTATCCAAAAAGAATAAAAAAAAACAAAGAGAAGCATGGCTAGGTG